CATGTGGTTGTGCATGACCTGTCTTTGTTGTATCAACTTTCTAACATAAAATGCACTTATCTGAATTTGTTGTTGATTCATATGTGTTAGTTCTGAATTGTGTTCAAAACAAAAGCTACAAAGCATGGAATATTGTTGCTAGTTTCTTAATTTAGGTTTTATTCTGTAAATTTGGCTATTTTGCTTTTGGCTTCTGTACCGTTCTGTAGTGTTATAGCAATGCAAAATCTCCAAAAGAACTGAACATAAAATGTTCGGTTTCAATTCAACCTGAACATTTCTTAATATTCCTTGAGAAGTTTTAGCACAATATTAATGTATCAAAATATCATTTAAAATGACTGAATTTCTCCCAAGGTAGGAAATATAAGGATGGTAGTGCAACTCATCTGAAACACACAGGTTCACAGCGTTCTTGTGTTGTTTGATGTTTGCATGTGTCTTCATATTTACAATTAAGGTAATAGTTGGAAGATGCTCTACAGAATGAAACCCTTTCTTGGAGGAGGCATTGGTATTGTGCCATTGTCACTAGGTTAGTAATCCAGAGACCCAGGCTCATGCTCTGGGGGCATGGGTTCAAATCCTGCCATGGTAGATGGTGGATTCAATGAAAGTCTGGAATGGAAGCTTGTCTAATGGTAACCATCTAATTTTTTTTGGTAAAACCCATCCGCTCACTAATGTATATAGGGAAGGACATCTCCTGTCGTTAAAGCCATATCTGGCCTAACATGTGACTCCAGGCCCACAACAATGTGTTTTTTTTTAAAATGACCTTTGGGATGTATGCTTTTCATTTCGTAGTTCTTGAAAACTTCATAAGGTTTGGGCCTTCTGGTGGGACAGTATTTATTTGACACATCCAGGAAGGAAACTCCCAGGTTCAATTTCTGATTGTGATCCGTTATTGATCTTGGTAGGGGTATCAGTTAACAAATAGTTCCAGAGGCAGACAGGGATCAGCCAGGTGGGCAAGAGCAGGAATGGGCTCTGTTGTAATGCTTTGACTAGTCCATCGACTCTCCCCTGAAGAACAGCCACTGGTTGGGTGTACTTGAGGTTGATCAGAGCCTAGGGTGCTTTTTTGATTCAGCAGGAATCAAATGTATTCAAAAACAGGTTATCAAATTGACAAAAATGACCCAAATGGTGTTTACTATGATGCAAATATGGAACAATATATTTAATATGACGATTCATCACAGAGAATTTCCGTGCTTCTCATCATTATTTCAATACAAGAAAAATATTAAATTGCAGTCCAGGCACGTGTTGAAAGGTATTTTAAAATTTACATATTTCACATATTTTTCAGAAGGAACTAGAGCAAACAATGAAGCAGTCCCTTGGTATTTTAAATTATTTTAATTCACAACATACTACAGTTACTGGGCAGAGAGCACAATGTGGTGGTGACAATGCTTTTGATGCTTCAGAAGTTTAGTCTTGATTAAACAATTATGAAGTATTCTATTGATTATTGAAACAGTTATTTGAACATCCTGCGGTGTCAAGTATAAACACTATCAATTACTGGTAAAATAGCCATCTATTCTTGCACAACATGATGCTGATGTTGTACTAAATGTGAACCTGATACTGTTCTCATCCCAATAAATACTTTTTGACAGGAATTACTGGATACCAATCAAGAAATCAAACCCTGCTTGATTGTTCCCTTTTCAGCCAAAGATGCTGAGATCACTTTTGGTGGTTTTAGGTCAATCCTAACTCAGCACAGTGTATTGATCAAACCTGGCTTCATAGCACAGTAGTGAATCTATGTATCTAAAATTCAAGTTGATTTAACAAAAAAGTAGATTGGACTAAAGTCATTCCATATACCAGAATCATATTGATGACTAATCATATAATCGTGTGTGTTTTTTTTTCTGAACAATGTGTAGAATTAGATGCAAAGCATACTGGATACTAAACTTATTATAAAGATTTGAAAGTGTTTCAAGACAGTAAATCAGCTTTCGTACAGTATAAATTATAGAAATATTTCAAATCTAACCATTGTCATCTGAACCTAATGTTATGTTAGAGGTTGGGAGTTTCTTGCTGTATGTTTTCCTCTACCATATACATAAAATTACTTCCCAATGTTTGTAGTCAATAGCCGAGAAGTCATTTCTTCAACAGTAGGTATTTATGATCAAATACCATTCTGGAAGTTGAAATGATATTCTGTAATGTGAGTTATCATGCAATTATATTGCTCTTGCAGTAATGAAATTTACTGGAATACACCTCATCCTATATACATATTAGACATGTTTCTAACACAGTCATTAACCTTTGAAATACATTGGACTGCAATTAGGCAGCCAGGAAATTAAATAAAAATGTTTGAGAAAGGAAACTGAAGAATGAAAAATGGTTGTAATTGCGTCTTTTTTATTTGTTTATAACTATTAAAGTGACTATGCCACTCCTGTCAACTGAGTGAATTCACCATTGCAATATTAGAGTTTATTTTAACATACCAGTGTGACTGCTCAAGGAGAATTGGAGTTCAGCAGAACTGTTAGCCAAATGCCTAACTTGTAAAATATTAGACGTTAAAAATGTGTAAAACTACACATCGTCTATGTGTCAGTCAATCCTCAATATTAAAATTTTAAATTGAAATAATTTATCATTGTATGATACATTCTGTGAAATGTCATTCATACCATGCATTGAAGCTTTCCGTGATTGCAGCCATGCTAAAACTTTGTCATCATTTATTTATAATTTTATTGTTGAAGTTTGATATAACATTTGTGTTATTCTAATGAACAATGGTCAATTTTAATTTATTTGAAGGTAACAATGTTTGCAATAGTCATCCGTCAATGGAACATAGCATTTTCAAACAATTTAATTCTTCCAATGGCCTTTAAGTAGAACCAAAATAATTGTAGGACTCTGTTCTGAAGTGACGTCTTAAGTTATCTTCATATTATGTTTCTTGAAGCAAAACTTTTCCATCTTTTTTTGCAAGATTTGTATTCAAATTTAATAAGTGTTTAATTTAAAGTATAAACTGTAACAAACACTGAAATTATTTCCTATCCATTCTTTTGAAAATATACATATAGAGTATACATTAGAGTATACATTATACTATAATGAAGAGATTGTTGGATTAGAATATGATCGTCCCTGAGCTTTAAAGAGATTAACTTTGAACATTTAAGTATTAGATGCTGTCATACTATGTTGCCAGCTGTTATCACTAGTAAGTGCTTGGATATATAAGTCATGACTCCAATATGATATTACCAATGATGGTTCAAACAGATATACTTTTGATCTGACATGTTTCTGTTAAACAGAGGTTATATTATTGAAAAGCTTAACAAACTTTACCGTGACTCAACTGATAGCACGGTATTCAATGATGATGAATAAATGAACCAATTTATTTGACTTGCAATTTATTTTCTTTAAATATAAATTCGTAAGGAATTTATAAATTGTGTTTATTTAATTTTTTTAAATTCTCATTTCCCTCTCCAGGTATGTTTCCTCAAATATTAGACAGGCAGGTAATCCACTCCCAAAAAGATCATATTGCTCTGCTGAGAAAAGAACTTGTTGTTGATGTTTTTTGTCTTGCACTGATCATGGCAGAAGTGCAAGCATACCAAATCTGAAAGGAAACAACAATTTATACCATTGTTCTATTTGAGATTTGGTATTCTTACAGTTCTGTCGTGATGAGTGCAATACAAAAAGCTTCAACACCATGTTTCTTTTTCTCAGCAGTACTGAAGTACTTTGCTACCAAACGATTACAATGTAAGTCTTCAATCGGCCATTTAACAGTGCACAAGAGTTACACGGGTTCACTCAAATCAAAGGTTTTCTACTTCCCTGGAAATTATTATATCTAGCCTGCACCTAGTGCATCCATTATCATCAAACCTTTGCAAATGTGGCTGAGAACAAAAATGGCAAATGCTAGAATCTCCTACTTGACAACTGTTTTGATATAGTATATTGGATCAACTAACTTGGTATGTCATCAACATATATGACTGTTGCAGAGAATTAGAACAGATGGTTATAGTTGCAAAACATGTTGAAAATCAAATAATATTTATGTTCAAATGAAATGTTGAAGTTTTTTTTTGTCATTTCAAAACAGAACCCAAACTGCCAAGATACAACTTTGCTGTAACGCCAGATGATGGAAGAATGGCTTTAGTTAAAATGTTGTCTGTTTATTGTTACTATGGTAAGTTGTATTATGGCCTGAAAATATGAAAGTGTATAAATTGTTGAACTACCTAATAATTTTTTGAAAAACAAAACCCCAGATTTTTTTTTACATTTTCAGTCATTTGGGTTAATATTTGCACTAAAAATAATGAAGTTTAGTCAGTGTTCTATCTATACACGATAATCAGTCTCAATTTTGAACACAGATAATTTCTATTGGATAGCATAGTTCTGCAAGGGTTCATCTTGAGCTATGTTGAGCAGCAGTGATAAAACTGGGATGGCAGATAGGAGAGACATACCATGTAAAATGATACTAAGACTGAAAACTCTACTGTCAGATGTAGATTACAGATTAGTTTCCCTGCTGTTTACATTTCCAAGTCAAAGAGGCTTGTTTTGATGAGCATAACTTTTAGGCTGTCTTGCAATAAAGAGACCCTGTAATCCAAGGCTGAAGAGACAGCCAAGTGATATAGCCAGGTTTGCTGGGAGGTCTGTGCTGATTTAGGTTGAAGCTTGTCATTGATTCCATTTGATAGACAATTTAGCTTGATGCTTTCTAACAAAATGATATATGTTCGGAAATGAACATTGGAAAGTGCACATGCTGTGTATTTTGGAATTGTCTTCCAGGTAACTGCCAGGGAGCTTACTGGTCATTGATAAACAGACCTTTAGGTCTCCCTTAGGCAGAAAGTCTGCATTTAGGTGCACTTGGGGACAAGGTAAAATGTAAGGGAATTTACCAATCTCCTTCCCAACCCCCGGAGTTCCCCTGTTGTCTCCCCAACAAAATACCCATTGACAGCTCCACCATCATGCCCCTCCCCCGAACTGTGTATACTTGACTGTCCTTTTAATAGACACTAGTGTCCAAATTTCTGCATGACTTCACGTTTTGAAAGGTTTCCACACTGGTATTCCTAAACCCCACCTCCCTCCCCATGATGAATACTTGTGTTCTCCACTGAAATTCTGTTATTTCTGATTCAGTCTTTAGGGTCTCCTTGTAGAAGTAGTTTATGAATGGGGCGGGGAAACGGGGAGGGGGTTGGGAATAATCACATCCAATGATCTAATCCATTCCAACACCATTCGTGTCCCATTCTGTAATGCAGTACAACTGACAAGAAAATAAAATGAAGCCGGCATCGATTTGGTTTCACACTGGTGCTAATGTACTGCACGAAAGCGTTGAGATGACAATCCTTTCACCAGGGAAATAAAATAAAAACTAATAAAGATTCACGTCAGCACCTTGACTTTTTTTTTAATTCCAACACCATCGGTAGAAGGTAAAGCAGTCAACAAATATAATACTAACGAGGAATAAAGCCACTTACTGTCTAACGGGACGGAATGTTGAGTTGGACTTTCCAATGGACAGATTCTTGATCAAACTGAAGCAGCATGCATTTTTTTTTAAACTGTTTCATTTCTTGGCAACGTCATTCAACAAACCGCGATGTTTTGAGGAATGTAATACAGGCTTATTGTTTTTTTTTGAAATTGTGCGCAAATAATTGTTTTCTTTCTTTCTGGAGTCATGGATATGTTCAATAAATAGACATAAAGCCACCTCTTTTACTGTATAAACTTCATTTATACATGCAGTCCATAAAGTTTTCTGTATCGCTTCCACGGAATAATTTACGCTGTATGTAATATTTATATACAAATAGATAACTTCTCAATAAAATCTATATACAACTAATTCACTATCTCCCCCTCTTAAAGGTCAATGTACATACACAGGAAGTGTCTATCCTTATAAATCTCCACCCAATCTTTCTCCTGCTATCCATGGTGAGGGCTCGGACGTAAGATTGGCTGGTTTTGCATTGAGAGTTCCAATGTTTCTTGTCTATTCCTCTGCAGCCTTCGTTAGTGAACCCTTTGGGATTGCATTTGGTCTCGTAAAAGTACTGCTTGAGCTGACCATTCTGGACCAGGATCTTCTCCAGGACGCTGACCGTTTGGCCCGACATATCCACTGCTGTCTTTTTCTTGTCTGCCGTCACCCATTGGCTGATACTATCACAGACACTGAGCTCTCCCCTGCGGGCTGGGTCTGAGTGGCGCCTCACCCTGGCCGACATGTTCGCTGCCTCTAAGTAATTCCGGTACTCCTCCATCAGGAAGAGCAAAGGCGGTTCCAAAGGCACCTGGCCGCTCAGCATCACCCGTGACGAGTACAAGTCGCCCTCCTTGTCCGAGCCTCCCTGTCCACCTCCGCCGTCGCTCGGCCGAGCCTCCCTGTCCACCTCCAGGAGCTCTTCCAGCACATGGCCCATCGTGTTGGCCAAAGCCCCGAGTCCCCGGGAAGGGGCGACCCCTGGCCCCCCTCCGCCGGCCAGTGTCCCGTAAGGCCGCAGCCCCGGGTAGTGCGAGGCGCCTCGGTCCACAGCTTCATTCATCGGGGCAGCTTGCAGGCAACCACAGGATGAGATAACCATAGCAAGGAACAAGATGTTCATTACTCTCCTCAACTCGTGTGCCTTTCCGC